TTTCTTACTTTGAAAGCTCTATTGTTTCTTTTGGCAAAAAATAAAATGAAATACGAAATGTATAGTTAGGATTTTTTTAATGTAATGGTACTCAACATAACTATGATGTAGAAGTTTCAATAGCATTGTATTTTTTCTTTCCTAAGATTGTTTCTTGTCACAATTATATTATAATAAAAAAACGAAGATATAATGTACAAAAAAAAACATTTCAATAAGAGCCACTATTAGCGTTTAGATGCTAAATTTGGGACGAGTTCGACGCATGTCTATTTTCGGTTGAATATCTCGTAAACAACGCGAATGATCGAAATTAGACTTCTTATAGTTACGTGTATAATACTAAATTATACACATAACATTATATGAAGGCACGATATATGTCTTTATTTGTTTCAGGTAGAAATAATATGAAATACTATTATTTTTGCTGCAAATATTATAGAAATACAAATATGATAACACATGATTTATTAATTTGTTAATATAAAGATTATTCTGAGATCATCTTAATGATTACTGTACGAAAAACTTTAAAAAACAATGAGACAAAACGTTTGACAGACATATGTTTATTGATTTTATTATGACAAAATGTTTATTATATTTAATGAGATCTAAGACTTTCGCGTATTCATTTAAATGAAACTAATATTTTTCGGATTATTCGATTTATATAATGATCACGGTTGCTGAAAAGTAATCGAAACGCACTAAGTATGTTGTTTTTTTAAGTAAAAAATATATGTTTTATATAAAAGTATATTATAATTATTATCAGTAGTAACATTTTGTTAATAGGCATCGTTTGGCAAGATGACAGTCACAGTTGGATGTATAGAAACAATCCGTCGGTATCTGTGACCGACTCTATATATATCACATGAGATGGGGTCAAACAACTCTTTATCACCGCAATTAATGTTCTAATCATTTTAACAGCGACAACATATACAACGTGTAACGTAATTAACGCACACCCTCAAAAACCCCAATGCGAATATAATGATATAAACGCAATGCATACACCAAATATTATTTATATGTGCGTTTGCATTTTTTATTTGTGAAATTAGTTATCCCAATTTCGTGCAAATAATATGGTCAGACACAATGTACTCCCCGCGCCCGCGCCCCTCTCTCCGAGTGCCGTCCGACAATAATAAGAAGTAGGTAATAATAAGTACACGAAATAACTACATACATTATGATTTTTCTTTCCATCACACTTTTCAAGCTTTAAATTGTTGACATTGAATTTTCTTTTTAATGTGAAGCCAATATTTTATAATTACTGATTTGTTAAATTAAATTTGTAAATAAGAATTATTAAACAGCTGATAACGTGTGATTTGATTAGACACCACAATACCTACGACAAAGTTAAACACAGTCGGCCTGTTTAAATGGTGTGTATCAAAATATTTACAATAATTTAAAGATGATAAACAAACTTACAGTTTAATTTGCACTCGCACGGCGTTGTCGTTTTAAAACATTTTCAAAATGTCCACCGCCTTGTTCAATGCACTTTAATGTCCGTTTTCGCAATTGTGGTTTTATTTTAGATAATACTGCAATGTCACTTTTCACTTTTACAAAGACGGTTATTATCTTATTTTTTATTTCCTCGGCACTTGTTATCTCTGTGTTATAAACTAGCGATTTTATTCGCCCCCACAAAAAAAAGTCGAGTCGCGTCAAATCAGCTGATCTAGGAGGTCAATGGACGTGCGTAGGTATTTGATGTATTGAATGTTAGTGTACCGAAACGACAGAGCGAAATGCGCGACTAAGATTTTATTTGCACTTTACACTTGACCTCTTTTCGATAAGGTGGACGCGGCGTGACTAACTTACCCAAAACACATTGTTGACTTCGATGTTTAGTTATTATTACTCTAATTCCCGGAATTATGCCTGCCGTCTCGCTCTATTGTAATGTTATTAAGCCGAAGAAAGAAGGAGAAAGTAATAATTTTTGTATTACGCGGCTTTCTTTTATGCACTGTAGTGACCTTGCTGTGTGCCGGTTGTCGCTATGGTGTTGCGTGCGTAGTTATTTTTAAATACTATTTTAGCCTTGAAATAAGTATCAGTTTTCTTTAATTGAATGATGATTACTAATTAAATATTTCATTTTAAAAATCTTAATACCCTGACTTACGATCCATTTTCGTTTCCATTAATTTTCGTTTCTATGAAGTGTTTAGATAACTGTGTGTAGGGTGACTATAATTTACTTAGTTCTATCTAAATTTGAGAAAAAAAATTACCTACATAAAAAACTATCAAAATCGATCCAGTATCCGATTCTGATCAAACTACTTTCAGGGTGTGCGTTAATTATGTTACACGTTGTATACGACTGACTGTTATAAAAATAATATTTAAAATATAACAGTAAAGACTTAGTTAATTTTGCATTATTTTATTTGATTCAAATGTTTTATTAAAGTTTTGTTAGCCTGTCTTTGGCTCGTAAAATCTATTGAAGATATAAGGATATATGATTTAAGTATTCCTAAGATACGCGACTATAACGTTGTAACCAATCTTGAATCACAAGTAGGTATCGTCACATAGCAACGAAACTTTGCAGTCAACACGAGCACATTAAAATTCATGAGATCACTTCATTTAGATCCACTGTTAATGTTTGAGGGATCTTCACTAACACTGAGGACGATAGATGATAATTATATCATAATTTGATGTTTTTAGCGATTATGATAACATTCTATAGTTTGTTAGTCATTTTGCAGATATTCGTGCGATCGTTTTAAGACATTACGCTTAAATACTGGACCGGACTTAATCCGGACTAGTTTTGTATAAATAAAACTAGGTGTTTCTGATACTGTTTTTGTTATTTTGTAACAAAAAAATCCTGATGTTTAGGTTCCTTTACAGCAACTGAGATCACGAGTAGATGAGTTGAAACACGCGAAAATCTAGACATAATTTTTGTGTATAAACTGGACACTAAAGTGTATATCCCTCGGACACTTCATATCTTCGGGACACATGGATATATCCCGTGGACACTTCCAATATATCCACTCACTCTTTAAAGCCTTGACTATTAGTACAGTTACAGTAATGTCATTGAAGACACACAATGTTCACACTTGATTGCATCTTGTTTATCGCCTGAGCTAGACTGCATTGAAATTCAACAACGGTTACATTTGAATAATTTACTTGTTCAATATGAAATTATATACAAGATATATTTTTTAGTATAAAAAACATTTTTTTTTATGACTATGAATTATAATGTTGTATAAATTAATATGAACAATGCAATATTCATGAACCCTTGACGATTATACGGTCAGGCTTGTCTGCACGAGCGAGTGGTTTGAATTCATTAAAATATATATAGAAAACAAAATATATACAGGGGGAAGAAATAACAGTGTGTAGGCTGCAGCTATTATGTATTATGTTTTACTCGATTTTATTATAGTAAATTAATTAGGCTGAAAGACATGCATTGTTTAAATTATGTAAGTCATAGATGGGTTTTTTATACAAAATTTTATCAATTTTATTTACAATATTTACTTCATTATATAAAATTGTTACCCTTATTTGTAATTTTTATGTATTGTATTATACATATCATATAATGTAATCTGATAGTGAAATTTTTAGTATTGGTTTCAGGATTATAATGATATATTATTGTGCAAAAAGAATTAAAAGTAAAGTTTAATGATTAAGAAAAAGTTATCCTATATAAAATATTCGAAATGAGAGCTTTATATATATATTTGAGTGTGCGTGTGTATGTGTTTATTCAAATTGTAAAAAAATGTTTAAGTCAATAGATAACTGAATTAATGGTTGTTTGGTTACTTAACAATAATATACTTAGTGTATACTACTATAGTAATAATTATATGCATGATAAAGTTACATCATATAAATTATTAATATTCATAGTAAAATCCAACGGAACTTCGGTATATCTTAATTTCATACATAATTTATAATAATAAAATAAAACAATCCACTTTCAAAACGTGTTATTTCGACGAGTAACGTAAAATAACTAACAAAATAGACCAACGAACCCAAACATAAACATGTTTGGACAACTGTGTGAAAACAACTGTGTTTAAAATACATATAATTAATACATATATGTAAAACATATTGTTAAGAATGAATAATCATAGCTGTTTCTACATAGCAACATAATGATTCAGGAAATGTAAGAAAATTAAATACTTATATATAAAATTCTCCTGTCGCTGTGTAGACAGAGAACTCTTCAGAAACGACTGGACCGATTATGATGAAATTTTGTGAGCATATTGAGTAGGTCTGACAATCGGCCAACATCTAGTTTCATACCCCTAAGTCATAAGAGTTGTTCACCCTTAATTTTTTATTTTATTTCCGGATGAAATTATTTGTCTTTTTTTATGTAGCATTAAAAAATCCATACTAAAAAATTTTTTAGTTATTTTTTTACACTTATTTTTTTATATGGCAAAAGAACGTTCGCGGGGTCAGCTAGTATACATATATTTTATTATGTTATTTAAATAAATTGAATAGTTTTAGAGAAGAGTACTAAGGTATGAGACAGAATATTACGTTGATCGAAATATTAAGTTATATTTTCTAAAGAAAGAGATTAATTTATGGTACATTTATATTTCATATATCTCTTTTGTTTTAAACAATGTAACGACACATATGCACATCTCGTCTGGCCGTGATCACGGTTGCTGTAAAGTAGCCGAAACGTCGAGAGTATGTAGTTTATAATCAAAAATAAAACGCGAAGTAAAATCCGAAAATATTAGTTTCATTTAAATGAGTACTCTCGAAAATCTTAGATCTCATAATGTATCGATAATTCAGATTTATAATATACAAAAACCAGTAGATTTTAGATCTTAAAGAACTTCATGTCTGTACTATGCTTTAGGGAAGTAAGAGTAGCTATGATTGAAACTGTGTTCAATGCTAGTGGTACAAACCTGATTGGTAGTGAGGTCCCATTGATCAGCAACAAATGACTGTCTACTGTATAGGAACACAGGTACTTGGTGGTCTTTAACAGGAGCTGGGTCACTGTTCAGACGAACCACCGTCAAATGTGTTGTGGTGGTACCAACTGGTAACAAATAAATAAATAAACACATTACATCAATTCAATTAAAAAAATATTCTCCTTATATATTATGAGGAAGGTAGTTTTATATAATTGTCTTTGACCAGCTCTATAAATAATCGATTGATATCTTTCATTTTTACATCTAATTTCTGTCATATAGATAAAAATGTTATATACAGCCACGGGCAAAAGTATTAGGCACCCTACAGTAAGACAAGTTTTAGGGTGTTTTAGCATAGCGAGTGTAAATAAAACTGCATTTATGATTAAAATGGTTTATTTTAAGAAAATAATTAATATTTTGTAGGTCCACCTTTTGACTTAATAACCGCAGCCACTCTTTTTGGAACTGACTCTACCAGCCTGAAACATTCTTCTCTTGATATATTTTTCCATTCCTGCTGTAACGCGGCCAATAGAGCTTGTTTATTGCTAATCGAGTGCCTGCGGATATTTTTCTTTAAAATGGACCAAATATACTCAATCGGGTTGAGGTCTGGTGATTGTGGTGGCCAGTCCAAAAGATCAATATGATTTTCAGCAAACCACTTCATGGTATGCGCGGACTTGTGGCAAGTGGCGTTGTCTTGCTGAAATTTCAGGCCATCGGTGTTTGTATCACCGAAAATTTGCGTAATCGACGTTGCTAGTGCTGTTTCCAGAACTTCAGTGTATTTAACACTATTCATTCGTCCCTCACACAACACCATTTCGCCCACTCCGTCGGCAGCCATGCAGCCCCAGATCATTATTGAGCCTCCACCATGCTTAACAGGGGGAACCACACATTCTGGGTTGTATTCTTCGCCAACCCTTCGCCTAACATAAGTCACACCGGGTGTTCCAAACACCTATGCCAAATGAAAAAAAACCATTTATTTTCAAAGTTATTATTTTTCTTGCAGTAAGTTATTTTAAAAACATTTATGTGTTTTAATATTGTACATAAAATAAATAACAATACCTCAAAGTTAGATTCGTCTGACCACAGTATGTTGGACCAATCTTCCACTGACCAATCTCTATGTTTGAGTGCCCACTCCAACCGATTTTTCTTATTGTGTTCTGACAGCCACGGCTTCTTCCTTGCTTTACATCTTTTTAATCCAGCTTTAAGAAGTCTTCTTCTCACCGTATAAACACTCACTGAGCTGCCTTTTGCCTCAGATAATGCTGCAGCGAGCTCTAAAGCAGTTTTTATCCTGTTTTGTAGAGACTGCCTAATCAACAATCGATCTTCCCGTTCAGTAGTAACTTTTCTTCTGCCTGTTCTTGGTCTATTTTCATGGGTGCCAGTCTCTTTGAAGCGATTTATAGCATATTGAACTGCACATCGCGAGCACTTCACTTCTCGGGCTATTTTAACCTGAGACATGCCTTGTTCATGTAAAATCTTAATTCTTAGACGCTGTTCAGCACTAAGTTCAGATTTTTTCGGCATGATTAACACGTTAAATGTTAGTCTTTAGAATTGTGATAGGAATCGTTGCGTAGAAGACGTGTATGTTCACTGCAAGCATTGATAACACACTATAACCCGAAACGCAAAAAAAGCAAATTCTAAGAAATACCGCTTAGGAGCACACCTGGATGTCATAAATATTTTCTTTTCTCTTAATTTGGTTAAAAATTGCCGCTAATACAATAGCTAAACCATAAAACACACACTTGACCGCTATCTAATGAGATAGTGACTAACAATAGGGGTGCCTAATACTTTTGCACGCAGCTGTATATAAGAAAATTGTGTTAGTTACACTATTTGTAACTTAAGAACGGCTGTACGGGTTTGATTAAAATTGGTGGAGAGATAGCTTGGAATAAAAGACGGACATAGGATATTTAATTCTGTTCGATCGACAAAGAAAAATATAATAAATTCCATTATTTGGTTATTTATGACCTCGCTGGCCGAATAGAGTTCGTCCGGCCAGCTATACATATTTGATATTGCTAATCCCAAAAGTAACGCGGACGAAGTCGCGGGCCAAAACTAGTAACGTATCATTTTTAATTATAACTCAAAATGAAAATATATTTAGTAATTCTGATCACTTTACGTAACTAAGAACAATAATATCAAACAAAATAATGTACACCCGTATCTTGGTGGCCAATGTGTTATAGAATGTAAATGTAAATGCTCTATTAAATCTGTGCCACGAGAATAATAATTAATTTTTCTATACACCAGCTGGTACAATATCACACAAAATTGATGCTTTTGTTGATATTATTGTATTTTTCTCTTTGACTGACATTTAATATCCAGAGATCAAAGTGTCTTTATGTATTTTTCTTAAATAGAAAATTTTATTTTGACATTACAGACATTATAATTTCAAATATAACTTGACAGTCGTTTTTAAATATATCTCCAACCATCTCAGCAGTATCAAAGTTCTTAGTCTATAGTAGTGAGCTTGTTCACTCACAAATTCCTGTTTACATAGATGACTACAATATCGACACATGACATTTGCGAAATCTATAAGGAAAACGCCACTAACTAAAGAAGAAGAAAAATATTTATTTTCCAAAGAAATTCAATTCAATTCAATTAAGACAGCCGACAGCGACTGTGTACGCTACTTTTGTTAATTTGTAATCGATATGTTTAATCCTACTATTCTACTAATATTATAATTGCGAAATTTTGTGAGTGTGTGTGTATGTTTGTTACTTCTTCACGCTCAAACGGCTGAACCGATTAACATTAACCGATTAACCGAGTAACACCGCGGGGCGCAGCTAGTATATTATATATATATATATATATATATATATATATATATATTTTCCTGCCCTGATCCCACTTTATGTAGGGTCATCACATTTTTTCCTTTTCCACAGAACAAGTTGTAAATAGGTTTGGGTAATTGTTTTTACGACCGGCAGCCTGCTTGACATCAACCCTCTTTGGGAATGCATTAATCAGTGATGTCTAAATACTCTCAGAAAGTACATATGACTCGGAAAAATCACATTTGTACATGTTTTTCTCTTCCACAGAACATGTTGTGAATAGTTTTGGCTAATTGTTTTTACGACCGTCCGCCTGCCTGACATCAACCCTCTTTGGGAATGCATTAACCAGTGATGTCTAAATAGTCTAAGAAGTACATATGACTCGGAAAAATCACATTGGTACCACAAAATCACATCGAACCCGCGCCCTCATTCATGAGAGGCTGGCCTTTTACCCACTAGGCCACCACTGACTTATGTATAATATATAATATATTAATATTATAATACGAGCTCATATATTATTTCAAATTTAATCGTGTCATAACTTTTATCGGTGATAAGCACAATCTCTGTTCTACAAACAGTGTTTCATTAGCCATACTTTGGTTAATCTAAAAATATACTGGACACAATATATATACATAATAGAAGTATATAAGTATGTCTATATATGTATTATTTAATACAGGGCCAAACATTAAAACTATTTTTACGAAAGTATACAGAGTGACTGGTGAATTATGTACTATCAATATTTAAGGAGAAAACTCGGTACATGATTCTAATTCGAATTATGTAAAAAAAATAGGTACTTAATTTTTGACCAAATTTCCGTATAAATAAATAAAGTGTGGACACGCTCCAAGTGTTCCAAGTGTGGACGCGTGCGGCGGCGTGCTGATACAACACCACGCCGCCGCACGCGTGTGTGTGTGTGTGTATACCTAATCTGTAGGGTGTTCACACGATGCGTAATTAATTACATAACTTTTGGTTAACTTTGCTTAGAAGTTTATTAATATTTATGTTATATTAATTTTTATTTTGTCATATATGATCGTCAAATATCACGTCCTCAAGTATCGATAGTAATTCACCAGTATAGATATAAAAATAGTATATAAGAAAATTGCTATAAATATTTAATTGCTTATTGTTGTATTAGTAATAAACAACAACTCAGACAAAGCTGCGGCCTGCAACATGTTTATTTTAATATTAATCTAGATTTTTCACGATCTATCAATTCTTCTCGCCCTATATAAAACAAATACTTGTACATTTACTTTTACAACATAAAACAAGAAATAAATATATGTTTTTCTATGTTTAAATCTAGAAAGTCAGATAAAATAAAGCTACTGAATTTTAATTCAGAAAGCAAAAATTGAAAGTCTTGTTACTATTATAACGACGCAAATTGATGATATGTTAGTTTAAAAAGATATTAAATTTGTTTGAAAAATTCGACCGAAAATTATAAGTAGCGAACAGTTGCTGCCAAATAGTCATGTTTTATATCAATTTTCCTACTGTATAAAATTTTAGTGATGGATCAAACTATGCGGAAGCGAGTAAATTGTCCCAAACATTTCTACCACAAGTTTGCATTAAAAAAGAAGTTTATTAAATGATATATTTCATTAGCGTTTTAGTTTAAATGCAAATTAACGTTTGTCGTTTTCAGTGTAATGGATACGATAATTATGATAGTATATTTACTTTACAACTAATAACTATTTTGATTAAATAAAGCGTTTTAATTGTATGAGAGTTTTGTATAGAATGAGTGGTTTATATATGTATGTATGTTTATGTATATGTAAATATATAAGAAACCTGAAACACGACTGTCTATTTACTAATTTCATACAAAACCGTCTATATAATGAATCTTTAGAAGCATATATATCCTTTAAATAAACTAGAAATATAACTTGACTTTCCTCAACCTTATTGTAAAATACTTATTTAAATGCTTTTTACGTCATTATTAGATGTAATACAGTGTGTTACTGACATGCAATGTATTTTGTATATATTTAAATAAAGTCAATTAATGATTTTATGTATTAGTATCTGTAGCTAAAACTTATCGTTACTTGGTATATCTCTTCCCGCAAAATCAATTATTGATTATTTCTTTTATTGTATCAAATTAAAAACGTATTATTGGCGATACGATAATTACTACATACATACGAATAACCATTGTTTCATTTAATTGTGTTTTCGAGAGTTTTAAATAT